CAAAGGTGAGAATATAGAAATTTGAACCTCCAACCTCAAAGAAGTAGATGTCATTTATTGCTATATTGATCGTTACAAATTCTAATATTCCTTTTCAATTTTAAGTATCTAAAAACCATATCATTAATAGATAGATATCACAGATCTAACAGCTCATCAATTAACATCCACATTCTTGGCTAAGTGACCTAATTTGTTTTATCTTTTTTCTCCAAGAAGTCAAACTCAAACTTGCTGTGCAAATAAAATCTTGGGTAAAATATACTTTTAGTCCCTAAATTTGGAGATAGAATTCTATTTGGTCCTTCAGTTTCAAAAAGTGACAGTTTGGTCCCTAGCCTTTAGAAAATAATTCTAAAAAGTCCCTAGGGTTAAACTTCTGTTAATAAGACTAACGAAATACTGATGTAGCTTGCTGAGTTAAATATTTATTTAATATTATATTACTTTTAACATGTGTCATTTTTTTTTTCATTTTCTTTTTCTCTCTCTTCCCCTCTTTCCCTCGTCTCTCTTTATCTCTTCCCTTATTCCCTCCCCCGTAGACCTGCTTCTCTCCTCCTCCCACCTGATTCTGACCCACCATCATCATCGACGGCATCTGACCAACACCACTGCAGTCCTGACTTCCCACATTTCAGGTAACTCTCTCCCCTACTTCTGAAATCTTGGGTGATTTCTCTTTGAGTTCTTGAATTCAGGCAATGTGACTAAATTCATGGCTTCTCCTCTTTGATTTTGCTACAGTTTTGGTCTCTGCCACTACAATTACTCTCTACAACAAATGCTCCCACCCTGTTTGGCCAACATTCAGCCCAGCGCTGATAAGCCCTTTCTAGCTCGTGGTGGGTTCAATTCAAACTCCCACCCAACAAGGCCTACTCCCTCTGCCTTCCGTGGTCCGAATGCTTTTGGGGCTGCCACGACTGCGCCTTCGACGCATCTGGCCATGGGAAGTGCACTACAGGGGACTGCGGTGATATTGGTCGGAGGCCATCAATGACGATGGTGGGTTAGAATCAAGTGGTCAGAATCAAGGGAGGGAAGGGAAGAGAGAAAGAGGGGAAGAAAGAGAAAGAAAAATAAAATGAAAAATAAAAAAAATATCATATGTTAAAATTAATATAATATTAAATAAATATTCAACTCACCAACCATGTCAGCATTCCGTTAGTGTTACTAACGAAAGTTTAACTCTAAGGACCTTTTAGAACTATTTTCTAAAGATCGGAGACCAAACTGTCACTTTTTAAAACTTAGATACCAAATAAATTCTTATCACCAAACTCAAGGACTAAAGGACTAAAAGTGTATTTTACTCTAAAATCTTTCATAGGGAGACACAAACAAATATCTCGCACATTCATGCCTAACGGCATAATTCAAGTATGGTATTCAACGTGCCTTCATCTTCACGATGGATTTATGCATGTGGATGGAGTAAAGAAGATTTTGTTTTTCTTTTCCTAAAAAAACAAGAGAAACAAAATTGTACTTTTTTTTAATTAGGGAACCCTAAACCCTAAACTGGCATAATGTAAAAACCAAAGCAAAAATTAATAATCAAACAAGAAAAAGGAGTGATAAATTTCTCCATTGTTCTTTCATCTCTCAATACAATAATAATACAAGCCAAAGAAAACATGAGAAACATGTAAAACCACAGGAGTGCACTTTAGAAGGAGACCCATTTTGTCAAAGTATATTTTGATTAATTATTGTTCTTTTGTATGGAAGAAGAAAAGGAAGAAAAACAATAAAGTCGACAAAGTGAAAAGCCAGCAAATTGCAGGCCAGCACATGTAAACCAACAAACCCAATAGACCAGTTCTCAACACTGGCCACAGTAGCATAGCAATTTCAGAAGTAGCCTAAATTTAATTAGGTCAAGTGGAGTAAAGAAGGGGGGCCATTCAAACACTACAGACCTTTCTAAGCAGAAGGCTGCATGAGATGAAAAGAGAAATTTTTAAGACTTGAAAAGGAAAGTTGGCTTTCTGGGACAGATTCGCTCCACTTTCACCCTCCGCCCCATTGGTATATTTTTTGCAAGTGTCTTGTAATAAAGAAAAATTTTAAAAAGTAAAGAAAAAAGAATCCAACGCACAAAATCATAACGAAGTACAAAACTACAACAAGACACCTCCCATTTAAAAGAATGAGAGATAAAAGGACGATCAGTAAAGTCCTAACATGACCCAAAGGGAGGCAGACAACCTAGCTAAGGCTCAAACTTCCTCCAAGAACTCTCCACATCTCAACAAACACTCTTATTTCTCTCCAGTTAGACATCCATAAAACAGCAAAGAAAGTCGCATGCCCCCAGGGCCGGACGGTTTCACAAACGAATTCTATAAAAAATCGTGGAACATCCTCAAGCAAGACATTTTAGGGGTGTTCCAAGATTTTTTTAGAAATGGTATTATAAACTGCTGCACAAATAAGACGTATATTTGTTTGATCCCGAAGAAATTGAAGGCAATGAAGGTGGGAGAGTTCAGACCAATCAGCTTGGTTACCTCTCTGTACAAGATCATCTCAAAGGTTCTCGCGGAAAGACTAAAGAAATTTTTGCCGACTATTATTCACGATGCACAATCAGCTTTCATAGAAGGGCGGCAAATCACAGATGCTATCCTAATTGCTTCCGAGGCAGTAGGGGACTGGGGGGTGAGGAAAAAGTCTGGTTTCGTGTTAAAGCTTGATTATGAGAAAGCTTATAATAGAGTTGATTGGTCATATTTGGAGGCAGTCATGGAACAAAAAGGCTTTGGCCCTAGATGGAGAAGATGGATCATGGGCTGTTTATCTTCAACAAACTTTTCCGTGCTTATAAATGGTAGACCCCGAGGGAAAATTCTTGCAAAACGGGGCTTGAGACAAAGGGATCCGCTTTCCCCTTTTCTCTTCACTCTAATAGGAGACTCTTTCAGCAGATTGGTTCATTATTGTAGTCAAAGAAGGCTGATTAAAGGCTTCAGTATAGGCAGACAGAAGGTGGAGATTTCACATTTGCAGTATTCTGACGACACTATGATTTTCTGTCCAAATAAGACAGGTTTGTTGGAAAATTGGTGGATGATCCTAGACATTTTTCTACAAGCTTCCGGGCTGTCTTTGAATTTAAAGAAAACGGCCATCATTGGAATTCATGTAGAAGAAGACTTGCTTCAGGCTACTGCCAGAAAAATGGGATGTAAAGTGGAAAGGCTTCCCTTTCCCTACTTGGGAATTCCTTTGGGGGGCAGTTATAAGAAGAAATCTTTTTGGGACCCTCTGATTGACAGAGTTAGAAAAAAGATTGACAAGTGGAAGAATCTTTTATCTCTCAAAGGGAGGCCAGCTTACACTCGCGCAATCAGTGATTACTAGTCTTCCTCTCTACTTTTTTTCAGTCCTAAAAGTCCCAACGAGAGTTGTCAACGAGATAGAGAAGCTTACACGGGATTTTTTTTGGAATGGGGGTACTTTAAAAAACCCTTGTAACCACTTGGTGAATTGGGGGAAGACTGCGCTTCCGTTGCAATATGGAGGTCTTGGTATAGGGGCCTTACATAAAAAGAACAATAGCTTTCTGCTTAAATGGCTATGGAGATTTACCCAAGAAACTAATGCTTTGTGGCGGAAGGTGATTGTAAGTATCTATGGAGAAGATTCCCAGGGATGGTGTACACTTCCTCCTAAAGGACGTGTTAGGGGAAGGCCGTGGTTTGATATTTTTAAAAACAGCACGTTCTTTTTCAAGTTCCTTGATTTCAAGGTGAGAATGGGAAGTAGAGTTAAATTCTGGTCGGACAAATGGATTGGGAATGATTCTCTCCGAAACTTGTTCCCTGCCATGTTCAATCTTTCTTCAAAAAAGGAGGCAACGGTAGCTGAGTGTTGGAACGTAAATGAAAATGATTGGGATATTGGACTGCGCAGAGGCCTTTTCGAATGGGAGGTTGAGAGCTGGATGGGGCTTATTCAAGAAATTGATGTGGTGCGGTTGGGGGAAGTTGAGGATCAAGTAGTATGGTCCATAGACAAAAATGGTCGGTTCTCCACTCGTTCGGCCTTTTTGAATTTGGCCCCTCTTTGAGGTCCCCTCTTATTTCGGCAGTGTGGAAATTTAAGGCTCCAAAGAAGGTAAAAGTGTTCCTTTGGTCCCTTGCCCATGGAAGTTTGAATACCCATGACAAACTCCAGAGAAAGTGTAGGAACTGGACACTGTGACCCTCGGTCTGCACTCTTTGTATGAAGCACAGTGAGAACATGGATCACATGTTTCTGCACTGCCGTTTTGCTTCACAGATTTGGCATTTCCTCCTAAATATTTTTGAGATCTCCACTTGCTTCCCAAGACAGATTGAAGATTGGATGGCTGAAGCTCTTCATGGTTGGACCCTCCCTAAGGGAACAAGATTTATCTGGTGTTGTGCCTCTAGAGCTCTCCTTTGGCATATTTGGCTCGAAAGAAACTATCGGGTTTTTGAAGACAAGTCCAATACTTTTGATCTCTTTTGTAGGAATATACAGCACACTACCTCTTGGTGGTGCTTTAATTATAGTAAATTCTTTTGTAATTACAACCTATCCATGTTCTTGCACAACTGGATAGCGGTTGTTTCGTTTTTAGGTGGGGTTTCCTCTACCCCAGCCTTTAGTCTGTCTTCCTTTTTTGATATATCCTAAGAAAGTTTCTTATCTAAAAAAAAAAAAGTCGCATGCCAAAGAGCCCCCTATATTTCAAAAGGAATGATGAAATTACACCTTGAACTGGAGGCTTTTCGAGTGAAATTAGCTCACAGCAATGCCATGCCGAATGGAGAACTAACCACCGTTTATAGCTTTGCCCTTTCGCTACCAAGGTGTGGTTTTGTTTTCCCTACTTTATGGATATCTATATGGTTCTTCAGACTTTGAGTAGAAAGACAAATTACATACACGATAACTGAGGAAGTTGTTTTGGATATACCATTTCAAAATAAATATCATTTACTTCGGCAGGTTGATCTTTTAGTTATTTTGGGGAATATTTGATTGGAAAAAATAGGAAAATATTTTTGCCACTTAAGTACCCAAGTACCTAACTGCCTCTCCTTTTGATGTACATTGTTTTTATTAATGAATAGGTTCCATGTTTTCTTTAAAAACCTAAGTTGCATGACAACAAATCAAGCAAGCTAAAATGAGAAAAAGAAAAAACAAAAGAGAGAAGAAAATACATGCGGAAGTACACAACAATAAGAAGAGAGTTATGCTAAAAACAAGAAGAGACGGGTCATGCAGAGACTCAATCTTGCAGAGTATCTAGCATAAATTTTTTCTTTGATAATAATAAATAACATTATCAATTTCTGACATGTTTGTTATAGAAGATAAAAGATAAGTCACAAAGTAGTAGTTAATACAATCATAGATGTAAAGAACCAGCAGTAGGGAACATGTACCTTCACATTCCAGTTCTGATCAACCAAAAGATTGGGTGACTTCAGATCTCGGTGAACAATTGTTGGATTACTTGTATGCAAGCAATTCATACCCCTTGCCTGCCGTTGTATAAAGAATTCAAAATATGATTTTTTTCTCAAACATCAGTTGAATAAGATATTTGCAGTTAGTCACATACCACATCGAGGGCCATTTTTATTCTGCGCTTTTCATCAATTTGACAATGTGGGCGGTGAATGATCCGGTACAAGCTTCCTCTGAAATTTAATTGCATCAAGAAAACTTCTCAGCCAAAAAGCAGACAAAAGCATGTATATAGAATTCTTCTTTCTTCCTCTTTCTATTTATTGGGGGGGGGGGCAATTGAACTTATACCTCGGAAGAAACTCGGTAACAATGGAAAGGTTAGGAGGACGAGTGACAGCACCCATAAAAAGAACAACATTTGGATGACGTAGCTGCCGCATTATCAGTACCTTACATCAACATCACAATAGAAAATATTAGTCAAAGATAGCTGAGTGAACACTTGATGCGAGTGTAATACTGATTGCCTATAACTAAATTTTCATTTGTAACTATTGTTCATTAATTTGTAAGTCTCAAGTTTCAAGAAAACAAATTGACAATCATGTGAATTAACACGAAACTTCATAAAAATTTTCATACTTTTCCCCACCAGTCTTTATTCAGCACCATCTGCTTCTAACACAGAACTCGAATCAGGAGGTTAAAAAGTTCTCTAAATGGTGGATTCACTGGAGAGGGGTGGTAGTCTTATTGAAGAATTAAGGGAGGAGTAAGCTTCAAGTGGCCATTTGAGTGAGGAGTGAGGAAATGAGTTGGAGGCAGAACTCTAGTGTAATTTGTTAAGTGGATTAAAAGGGGCTGCAAGATTCTGTTGTCAAGTTTTAGGAACAACAGGAACCTTCGCTTGTCCTATCTCACTGATGATCTAAGAAGAACGAATACCAGATCACTAAGGATCTAAGAAGCACGAATACCAGACACAACGAGACACAGCATAGATACAGTGACATTAATTTTCAAAAACCAAAGATATAGATACGGCAAGGACACATTAGTTATAATATACATTTTTTTACAATGATTTTCATATTAAAAATCTATTTTAGTTTATGGTGTTTGTGCATTTATGATGCAATATCTTATGTCCGAATATTCAAGTTACATTCAAACCAACACATCAAATTTCTAAATGTTTCAACATCTCCACAAATAGAAACTTTGAAGTAAATCATTCTTGTGCATTTATATGTAATTCACTTTCAAAATGTATTAGTTTTGTTATGTATTTCTATTTTTGTCCATTCTTTAAAAATAAGCAAATGTTTGAGTTCATTTGTCTGATGATTGTTCGTCAAATAGTGACTGAGTGTCCAAACATGTTTATTGTGCATAACAAATGCTCGATGCATGCCAACTGGTGTTGAACTCGTATTCAAATTGTTGAACTATTATCTAACACGTGTTGCTTCAAAGATATCTAACACATGTCGACATTACCCAAACTAAAATATTTGTGATCCATGGTAATGATGGTGCTGTCAGATTGAGAGAGAAGCAATTTCTTTAGAACCCAAGAACACAATGGAAGAATTTCCAATAAACACAAAATAAGCCTAGATCTAATTTAGCATGTTATTTATCTCTTCCACTTGGTGCCCTAAGTTAACACTCTTCTATTATTGCTTTGTCTTCTATACAGGCTAACTGGAAAACCTATACATAATTCCATTAGTCTTTGGTTACCTTTTTGTATATTTCATATATACCAATTCTAAGGAGTATCATATGTTAATAAAAACAGAGGAATTATATGCAAACCATTTGAGGTAAATACTCAAGATGTGAATATGATTCAAAAAGTTGTGCTGATTTGTAGATTTATATAGAGAAACTAATAAACATGTAATTTTTTCTGCATTTTGCTATCATCTTTCACTAATTTGCATGGCAATGAAAAAGTTAAGCATCGAGGTGTGTGTTTGTCTGTGGAAGTAATTGCTCCACTTACTTCTCTTTTGAACTCAGCTAAAGCAGCGCCAGAAAAATCCTGGTCTAAGAATTTCTTCACCGCAACCTCCTGCAAATCCATCAATTAAGAGCATGATGTGAAGCTACAAAAGTTATTCACTGTGTCTTAATAATAAGAAAAGAAAATAATTCTTCCTTAATTACTCCAAATGATTGATACAAGGCTATATAAATAGCAGTCACAAAGAAGAAACTAAAAAGAAATTCTTGTCTATTAGGATAAGGAAATACTTACCTATTAGGACAATAAAACCCTAACCTAAATAAAATAGGAAATCTTTAAAATAAAATAAACTATAATTTAACACTCCCCCTCAAGCTGGTGAATAAATATTTTCCATTCCCAGCTTGTTAACCAAATATTCAAAGTTGTTGTGGTTCAATCCTTTTGTAAGAATATCTGCTATTTGATTGTTTGTTGGTACAAATGGAGTACATATGAGGCCACTATCTAACTTCTCTTTTATGAAGTGTCTATCAACTTCAACATGCTTGGTTCTGTCATGTTGAACTGGATTATGTGCAATACTGATGGCAGACTTGTTATCACAATAAAGTTTCATAGGCCCTTCCCATGGAATCTTCAAATCTTCTAAAATAATTTTTATCCACAGTAATTCGCAGATGCCCAATGCCATTGCTCTAAATTCCGCTTCTAAACTTGATCTTGCAACTACATTTTGTTTTTTACTTCTCCATGTTACTAAGTTCCCACCAAAGAAAGTACAATAGCCAGAAGTGGATTTTCTATCGTCTATCGATCCTGCATAATCTGCATCTGTATAAACTTCTAGATTGAGTTTCTCGCCTTTCTTAAACAACAATCCTCTCCCAGTGGAGTTCTTTAAATAGTGGAGTATTCGGTACACAGCTTGAAGATGAATTTCTTTTGGACTATGCATAAATTGGCTTACCACTCCTACAGCATACGCAATATCTGGTCTCGTATGAGAAAGATATATTAATTTTCCAACTAACCTCTGGTAAGTTTCYTTATTTACTGGAGGACTCTCTTCAGATGCACATAATCTATGGTTTTGATCAATCGGCGTTCCTATTGGTCTGCTGCCAAGCTTTCCTGTTTCAGAAAGTAATTCAATCACATATTTCTGTTGTGATAAGAATATGCCTTGTTTAGAATAGGTTACTTCTATCCCAAGAAAATATTTCAGTCTTCCCAATTCTTTAACTTCAAACTCTTGAATTAAACAATTTCTCAGTTTCTCTTGCTCATTATTATCATTGCCAGTGACGATAATATCGTCCACATAAACAATCAATGCTGTTACTCCCCCTATAGCAGAATGTTTTATAAACAATGTATGATCTCCTTGACTTTGTTTATAGTCCATCTTCCTCATGACTTGAGAAAATCTACCAAACCATGCCCTAGGAGATTGCTTTAATCCATACAACGCCTTTTCTAATTTACAAACTTTATTTCCTGCTTGCTGATATCCAGGTGGATCCTCTATATAAATTTCTTCTTCAAGATCACCATGTAAAAAAGCATTTTTTACATCATATTGTAACATGTCTCATCCATGATTTACAGCAAGAGATAGAAGTATTCGTACTGTGTTCATCTTGGCAACATGCGCAAAGGTTTCAAGGTAATCAACTCCATATGTTTGAGTATATCCCTTAGCAACCAACCGTGCTTTGTACCTCTCGAGTGTTCCATCTGCTTTATACTTTACAGTATATATCCATCGACATCCTACAGCTTTCTTATCTTTAGGCATAGTAACCAACTCCCATGTTTTATTTTTTTCTAAAGCTTGCATTTCAAGATTCATTGCTTGCCTCCATTCTTCATGTTGTATTGCCTCCATATATGTTTTTGGAATATTTATCTGAGTAAGGTTAACCATAAAACTTCTGTACTGACTTGAGAGTTTGTCATATGATACAAAGTGAGACAATGATACAAAGTGAGACAATGGATATTGAGTACAAGTCCGTTTTCCCTTTCTTAAAGCAATCGGCAAATCCAGGTCTGACTCATCATTAGCAGATATTGTAATGTCTGACTCATCATTAGCAGATATTGTAATGTCTGACTCATCATTAGTAGATACTATAATGTCTGATTCATCATTGATTATTTTCTCGTCAATTTCAGTTACAGGGATATGTTCAGACTCTTGGACGTGCTTATCTTTTTCAGTGTTCCTTCTTGAATAAACCTGTAATGGTGTAGTAGTAGAAGGGTTAGATGGTCCTGGTAAGGTGTCTAAGGGTGGTGGTAAAGGATTTGATATAGGAAATGTGAGGTTGGGAATGGGCAAATCCTTATCTTCCAATAATAGTTCCTCCCCCTGAAGATAAGGTGAGGTAAAGAAGCTGGTGTCTTCATAAAAGGTAACATCAGCAGAGATGAAGAACCTTTTTGAAGGAGGATGATAGCATTTATATCCCTTTTGAGTGTTCGAGTATCCGACAAAAATACACTTGAGTGCTCGTGGATCAAGTTTACCTCGCTGATGACTGTGAACATGAACAAAGGCTACACAACCAAATACTCAAGGAGTCAAGTTATTTGTTGTTCGAAAATCAGGATAATATTTTGATAGGATATTCATAGGAGTTCTATGGTCTAGAGTARCAGATGGTAACCGATTGATTAAATAAGTGGATGTTAAYRCARCTTCCCCCCAGAAKGATTTAGGAACATTTCTTTGAAAAAGAATGGCACGTGTCACAGAAAGGATGTGACCAATTTTTCTTTCGGCCACTCCATTCTGTTGAGGAGTGTCCACACAAGACGACTCATGGATGACTCCATGTTTTTGAAAGAAGGATGTTAAGTTTTGATTGAAGTAATCTCGAGCATTGTCAGAACGGAATCGTTTGGGTTTCATTCCGAATTGGTTTTCTATCATATGAAAGAATGTTTGAATGGTAGAACCAACATCAGATTTTTGTTTTAAAAGATAAACCCATGAGACTCGAGTACAGTCATCAATGAATACAATAAACCAACGAAATTTGGAAACATTTGGAACATTGAAGGGACCCCACACATCAGTATGAATAAGAGAGAAGGGAACTGATATTCGTTTATTATTACTAGGGAAGGGTACACGCTTGTGTTTAGCGAATTCACAAACTTCACAGTGAAGTGACTCAAGATTAAGATTTTGGAATAAATCGGGAAACAATATTTTAAGAGTTCGAAATGAAGGATGTCCTAGTCTATAATGATTCAACAAAAGCTTACTTGAAGGATGACGAGTTTGTGAGGTGAAGGAAACTGGAACACTAGTCTGACCGACAAGTTCATTAAGATAATAAAGTCCATCTTTTTCATTAGCAAGTCCAATAATCTTCCCATTGCCCTGGTCCTGTAAAATACAAGAAGAATCAGAAAAAGTTACTCTGCAACCTAAATCTTTGATCAAATTCKTTACCGATATCAAATTAACAGTTAAACGTGGTATATGAAGCACATTCTTTAAAGTAATGTTTGAATTTATCTTGATGTCTCCTTGACCARCTACTGTTACCAAGGTACCRTMTGCTGTAGAAATTTTCTTATTGCTCGGACAAATACTGTAAGAGATAAAATGACAGCTACTATTCGTCATATGGTCTGTTGCACCAGAATCAATAATCCAGGTACAAAGTTTAGGCTGGGAAGTTGTACTCGTCAAAGTTACCGAACCTGTACCTTGACTAGGAGCATTATCCAAAGTTTTTAAGAAGCTCCTTAATTGTTTGATCTCATTTACGTCCAGGTTTTTTGTAATTTTGGACGACTGTGACATTGATACCAAGACTAAACTGCAACTCAAAAATGGAGATCCAAAATTGAAAAAACAGTACTGCACCGAACCGAAAGAGGGCTGAACCGAATCAAAAACAGTTGAATCGAACCAAATCTGACTGAAACGAACTGAAACCTGTCGAAACGATCCGACAATGAACTGAAAATCCGGACTGAAAAACGCTGAACGAGTCCAACAACGATTTGAACCGAGCCTAAAGGAGCCGAACTGGCTGGACCGAACCAAGTGAACCGAACCAGTTGAACCAGACTATCTAAACCGAACTGGACGAACTGGGTTGACTGGATCGGACGTAATAGCAAAGGACGACGGCGGCAACGGTGGCGGCGACGAATAACAGCGGTGACGGTGACCGTTGTCGGTGACGAAGGACGGCGAGACAAAACCCACGAACAGCACTCGAAAAACAGCAGCGCTGGCGAATCAGCAAACGGTGCCGGCGGCGGTTGGCGACAGTCGGCGGTTGTCGGCGGCGGTCGTCGGCGGCGGCGGCGGTCTTCGGCGGTACTACAGTGGGTTGGGTACAATGAACACTTGCAAAATAGTGTTCAAAACTTCAAACCCTAATGGGTACAAAATCCCAATGGACAAAAAACCCTAATTCCCACAAATATTTTAGAGGAAACTTGGCTCTGATACCATGTTAATAATAAGAAAAGAAAATAATTCTTCCTTAATTACTCCAAATSATTGATACAAGGCTATATAAATAGCAGTCACAAAGAAGAAACTAAAAAGAAATTCTTGTCTATTAGGATAAGGAAATACTTACCTATTAGGACAATAAAACCCTAACCTAAATAAAATAGGAAACCTTTCAAATAAAAAAAACTATAATTTAACAGTGTGTATATTTTTAGACTGACATCCAGTGTGTATAATACTTACAAACACAGAGTAAGGAAGAATTCAACTATTAAGATTTTATAAGTTACCGAGGTGGGACGGGAAGGGAGAAGGGGGAGGGAGAGGAGGGAGAATATGGAAAACAATTGAGCTTATAAAGAGATGGGAAGAAAATACTTAAAAAAAAAAAACAATCAAGAAGGCACAATGCAACATATCTTTGCTCATATAGTTACAAGTTCGACATCAAATTAAATTGCTCATATAGTTAAAAGTACAACATCAATTTTTTTTAATAAGATCCCAGAAACCTTTTTCATTGATATTATGAAAATTGAAAAGTACAACAGAAGGGGAAACTAACTAAAGCTCTCCAAGACTTAAGTACCTCTACGAAAAGCTACTTCAAAAGGTGTAGTTTCCAAAAGATCATATAACAAAGTTAATCATAAAACTAATTACAGTAAACTCAAGTTTGCTATAAATCTTCCTGGGTATACAGTTCTTTTCCTAACAAGATACAAATTTTTCATTGATTCAATGAAAAGTTAAAAGAACATGTTTGTGAAAGTACAGAAACAAACAGAAATTTAATTTTCAGAAACAAAAACAGGCCAATTAATATAAATATCACTGACAACAATTAACAAATAATTTAGAAAAAGAACACTATTGAGAGGCCTTGAGCTTGGCTAAGTCAAACTGCTCATTCCAAACTTTAAACTCGTCTTCAAAAATCCTTTGATTGCACTTGAACCAAACTTCAAAAATAATAGCTTCTAAAAAAGTTTTGTCTATCCCACCTTTTTTAGAGGAGAACTTTAACGTTGCAACAGAGAGGGTATGTGAACCCATCAATCTAAATTATATCAAAAAGTTCTCCAATAAGTTCGAACCGATAAAAATCAAATGTACCAAGACAATAATCCCTGTAACGAAGAGCAGCCAAAACCTAGGCTGTAGGAACCACCACACCACCAGCCTCCTTAGTCTTCTTCTCAGCAATCTTGGACACAAGCTTGGCCTTCACCAAACCTAAGTTGTAATCCACTGAATATGGAGTTGTCGAACGAAAATTCCCCAACCACTTAGATGCTTTCGTTGATTGGCAACTCGACCATGTAGAAAAATCCAATGGGTTTTTTTATAAGAAACCGAACTTTTCATTGAGAAAAATGAAAACAAAACAGACACACAAGGGCATAAAAAAATTCAGCCCTGGAGAAGGAAGCCAGACTAGAGAAAGGGCTTCCAATCCAAAAGAATATGACCTAACTGATAATTACAAAATATCTTCGAAATCCAATGTATAAAAATCTCTTCTAGAGAATAATTACAGAACAAAGAAGATAATAAGCGCCAAGAAGATGCTTAGATGGATGACTATTGATAGGAGGCTTGGTGGTCCTAATGGAGAATTGTCATGAATGTAAATACAGTCACACATTGATTATAAGTAGGAAAGATCCTTAGTATAAAAGAAAATAAGGATTAAGGACAACATCTTCAATGGTATAAAGTCTTTTTGATAAAATCCAAAAGTAAAACCACACGGGTCTAGACCCAACATAGATAATATCGTACCATTTTGTAAATATGGTGACTCGTCGTCCTAATAAGTGATCCAAGCTAGAGGTCTCTAATTCAAATTTTTACAATGTCATTGCCTCCCTAATTGATATTAAAAATTCATGTTTTGGGTTTCGTGAACCAAATTAATATTTGAGCATAAGAGTGAGGGAAGTATTAAGAGACCATATCTTATTTCGTTAGTTTAAGCTTTTGGATTTAGTGGTATTTTACAAGTTTAATCACAGTAATTTTGAGGTCTAGTAATAATTTAATAATTAGAACACAATAATTCAAGCATTTTATCATAACCAGAGGGTTAAGAGTATCAACTTGGATCGGAGAGTTGCAGCTAAAAACAAAATGAAAAACTGAATGTGCCAAGGTTAATATTGGAAGACTGGCTACAGAATGCAGTAAATAGAAATATAGTTTATATAACTCACTGTGCCATTCCAATCAGCATGGTAGACTTCTCCATACGACCCTATATATACAAAACATGAAATTAAAAGAAGGAAAAATGGAGATCTCCAGGAAATTAGAGGTAAACTATTTCAAAGGTTTAAACAATTGCAATAAGAGAGAGCAATTTATCAATAAGTTTGATCATGGAATGAAGCAATAAATATTTGATTTCCAACCCTATTCTCTGCCCCTATAATGTGTGTGTGATGGACAGAGATTCTGATAAGCCATACCGTACCTAGTCCAATTCTTTCACCAATAATAAGGTCTTCCCACTGGATTTCACATTCACCTACATCCACATCATCATAAACTTGCTCAAACCTATTATAACTTGGATCAATTGACAGGCTGGGACTTCCCGGATCCTTCAGTATCAAATTGGTCCCAACGGATCTGTCATATGTGAACTTTCTACGGTTATCAAATCTGATTAAATTATCGCGTTCATCAACAGTATTGACCATTTCATCCTGCATGTCTATACTTCCAGAATGTTCTCCATTGGGCTTTATGTTCTGTTCCTCAATCGAAGGTAAAATATTAGGCTTAACCATGGCAGATGTTGACTGTGAGTTCACATTAGATGAAGAACTTCCAACTTCAGCACTTCTAACTGATATACTCGAGCCAGTTGATGTTCCTGAACCACCAGGATTGACATTTTCAAAGACGGTAGAGCTGGCAGAAGAAGACAATGCCACATTTTGATCATTAGATCCACGACTAATTCTTGGAAAACGGCCCTCCATATAATCATATTCCTTTTTCTGGGGAACTGCATTGAAAGCATGCCGATTTTTCCACAATGGTACAGGGGGATGCCCAATAGTAGGTTTCTGGAGCTCCTCAGTTTTATTATCAGAGGATTTGTTATGTACGAAACTTTTTCCAGTTCCTTTTATTTGGAACGGATTAAGATCTGCAAACAGATTTTTGGAATCCTCGGAGCTTTGGCCAAACGGAACTACATTGACATTCAGTCTAACATTACTATCACCAGAATGGACCCCTTTGTACCATGAAGTTCCAGTACCTAACACGGGAAGATTTTCAAATTAATCGGTGAGTTATTCTGGTAGATAATGCAGAGATAACATAAATGTAACTGTATGCACCTGAGCTTGACGGCACAGATTCTGTCCTTCCATAGCCGGGTTTTCCATCCATCAGCAAGCCAGCCTCAGCTTCAAGGTTTTGACTGCTGCCTTCATCAAGTGATGACATTGGTTTTCCAGAAGAAATTCCAACATCATTGGAGGAATGGAGAGAAGGAATTTTGCTTATATTCGGGTTGTAAGGCTTCAAGGTAGTAGTATCCTTTGCACTTAATATATCTGCTGGTATAAGCGTTCCAGGAGCTGCCATTAGATCAACCAAAAACTCCCTGGAAGCAGAAATTGAATACTCACATCAATTGGTTTTAACAGAACTGCGCACAAAATGAGAGCTTTTGGACAACTTTATAAAACATTTTTATTTTACGTCTCTTTTAATAAGAAACAAGCTTTTCTCAGTTTCCTATTAAAAAAGAAAAAAAAAAAGATATATTTTAAGAAGGCGGAAATTAGATGTAGAATTTTGTAAACAAAGTTTGCATTGAGTTTTTTTTTTCTTTTTTCCTTTTAGACTTGTTATTAGTTTTCTTTTCTTTTTCTTTTTGTGGGGGGGGGGGAGGGATTTTCTCTCGATCCTCCTCCCTTTATGCTTGTTATTCTCTCGTTTTCCTGGGGGTGGATGAGGGGATCGGAAACACAAACATCATTAAAGATGAAAAGAAGAATATGGAAGTTGTATTAGATCCTCCATGTCAAAGGGAAGGTGCCATTCTCTGATAGACTAGCTTCCTCGCCAGTTTGTGATTTATCTTATTGGAAAGAATAAGAAAAACTCTCATAGGATTAGATAGATTATGAGGAGATGTCTACATATTGACGCATTTTAATGCTTCCCTTTAGGCACATTACTTAATTTTGTTTAGTAATTACACTTTTTTTTTTCGATATCCATATGTTTGGGTCAACTTGCATGCACCTCGACTAAACAAGAGACAACCTGTCCTACTACATTTTGTTGTCAATGAAACTCATAGGATATTAAATTCTAGGTAGGTGGCAACCATAGTTTAAACTCATTTCCTCTGAGCTCTTCACTATTTACATTGGCCTTTATTGACCACTAGGCCAACCAATAATAGTTTAATTATGTCTATTACCAAAAGTTGGAGTTACTTTGTAGTAAGTTATTCGTAGTCCCACTTTTGTTGTAGCCCTTTTTTTCTTACCTTCATTCCTCTTAATGAGGTTTGGTTTTTCCTTGAAAAAACATGAAAAGAAGGATGCAAAAGTAGGGCAAGATATTCTCCTTAAAGTCACGGACCCTTCCAATTGAATAGAACAATAAAAGAATAATCATAAAAGCTTTCATTCATAGTATAAGACGCTTATAAACACTAAAGATTTGAGAGACTTGATAACTTCTATTCTGTTCACTAAAAATATATATAAAGATATATATAGAAAAATGTACAAGATTAACCTAAAAAGAAGAAGGTATAAAGGACCAATATGCAAAATAGAAGAATTGCTAGATCCACCAAAATGTATTATGTTTGTAATCATGGTGACGTTTGAAGCATTAAGAAGACAATAGATTTCTTTGAATTTGGATAAAAACATCTATTCCTGGTTTCAAATTCCTCTCATGCTTTAACATTTAAGAACTAAAAATTAAAATGAAAAGAACAAGGATATACCTTTCATCCTCCAGCTTTATAATGTTGACAGCATCTTCTTCAACACCAGTATAGTGACTACCTTTAACAAGCCTACAAGGCATCTTGATACTGTCAGCTAACACCTATATCCAGGGAAGAAAGAAGTACGTTCTTTTAAGGCCAATAAAGCTTCTGTTCAAAATAACAATAATAATAATACAGCTTTAAATAATATATGTAAAACAATAAATTACCAAAACAGTCAATAAATTACCAAAACAGTATTCTCAGAACTTATCACTCAAAGACAATTTTATCTTCCTGAAACCTTATTCAGGGTTCTAAAACCGTCTACTCAGGGTTATAATAATTTAAGAAAGAAAACTGAACTTTTACTAGTTCTTCATATTGACAGTAAAACCACATGCTTCGTAACACTTAACAAGCAATCTTATGGAAGGATGCTCTAACATAAACCATGCCATGACCACTCGAGTCATAAGGTAACCTTCAATATAGATTGAGATGGATTGCATGATATTACAGATATTTAAGAGACATTTGCAACTACCAACCTTGAAAAGCAATGCACGATGTCTTGAGAGGCCAATATTAATGGAACCAATAGGCAGTACACTGGTGTGAAGAGAAGTCCTCAACTCTGTGCTTCTTTCCATCCACCTTGCAAGCATAAAATTGGCATCCTTAACAGGTCCGCCCATGTGTCCCATAACAAGCTCGGCAAGCCTCTGAACCAAAACTCTGACCTCGGTGCCAGGGCAATCTGCAATACATTGAGCAATTTGCACTAGCTCTTCTAGTGCAGGATCAACAGTCATATTGACCATCACGACTTCAAAGCCAGAACTACCAAAGCTTGCCTCAATATCAGATAGAGATGGGATTTTTCCTTGGACTGCTGAATCCGTAGAGAGGACATCATAAAACCCATTGACCACTTTTTCTTCATAGTCAAGCAGATTGTATTCCTTAGAACGCAATACAACTAATATTAGTGAGACTGAATAGTCCTACAGCGTATAGTAGCCAGAAAAAAGAATACCAAAGCAATGTGGAAAGGGAAACATCTAACAAGGTTGTGGCAAGTCCAGCTCCATCAGCGTATATTTTACAAAATATTGATGCAGCACCTACCTCCTAGACGACTCAGTGTCACAAGCATAAGGAATAACTAGTATTATTAAACATAAATAATTTAAAACAATTAATTTCTCACTTTTACTTGCTTATTTTTTGTTATATATAAGAAATTGAACTTTCATAGAGAGAAATGGAAAAGTATACAAGGGCATATAAAAAAACAACTTGATAAGAGGACATCACCTAGAAAAAATGGCTCCAATCCAAAAAGAATAATACCTAACTAATAATTACAAAAAGCTTTAGAAGCTAACCCCAAGTATTAAATCTAACAAAATCTCAAATATACTCTCTGGATCCCTCCACTCCCTAAAAATTATGTTGTTTCTCTGAAGCCAAATGTCCCATAAAGTAGCCAAGAAACAAGCCTGCCATAAAAACTTTCCTCAATCCCGAGAGGGAAAATAACACACACTTTATCATCACCCTACAATTCCTATTATGAGCCGAAGACACCCCAAAGCAGTCTGCTTCGTTAAAACTTCTCTTACGTATTTACTTGCAAAGGGGGCATGTTTCTTTCCCAGGCCATGAACCAAAAAACTGTGTGATTAGTTGCTGCCTGATGGTTTTACGTTCAAAATATTTTTTTTTCTTTTTTATTTTTAATGAGAAACCGAACTTTTCATTAACAAAAATGAGAAAGGAAAAAAGACAAAATGCACAAGGGCATACAGAAAAATTAACCCAAATAAAAGAGGTCCATCTAAAGGAAGGGGCTCCAATCCAAAACGACAATACCTAGCTGGTAATCACAAAAAAGGTTAACTTCAAAACCGACCCTCACCGAGTAGTACTAATTCTAATAATCTCGCAAACACACTCCCTCTCTCCACCTCTAAAGATTATATTATTCAGCTCAATCCAAATTTCCCACAAAATAGCAAAACAATCCTGACAAATGAAAATCCCAAGCACGATGCAACCTAATAATGTAGGGAAAGAAAAAAGAAATATAAAAAATTCTCGTTTACCAAAAAAGATGCACTGGAAATCAAAATCCCTCTCTCTTTCAACTTACTATGTTTATAATGTAAAATCAATACAGTGCCCAAATAACCCCTAGTTCAATGGGATCAGATACTATTAATCAGTAGCGTAAATCATGAATCTTGATCTCAATAATATTGTTTAATTTTATTAAAGCTAAGCACTAATTGTAACTACCAAAACAACAATAATCTCACCCAATATTGCCTCGAGAGCGCCTCAGCTGCATCTCCCTGGTCCCTGGCAGTGGAGTCAAGGCTATGATTTCCCAAGCTCAAAAGCGTGGCAGCTCGAATTTGATCCTTCTCCGGATCATCCCGGAAGTCCGAATTGGAGGCGCTAATAGCTAGGGCAAGCTGAACCTGATACTCCTCCTCGGAAGAAAAGTAATCAGAGCGATTGGGAGGCACCGGAGCCGGAGTGGTGCTTCCACCCCCTGGAGACGGTGACGACGATGGACTGGACGGAGAGTCGCCGGAGGTGTGGGCGGCGGGAGGAGGCCGATTATCGTTGGAAACACATGATGAGGACGGTGCAGGGGACGGATTCTCGTTGGACCGATTGGGGTCGTGGTTGCTTCCTATGTGGAACTTCTTGAAAATGTGTTTCATCCCTCTTCTCCAATTTCTCTCTCCCCCTATACTTTCCCTCACTTTCACTGAGTTCACCAGCTCTGTGAACTTCCACTTTCTCTCTCTAAAACCACAGATTCTGCCTGCCTCTCTCTCTTCCTCCAACCTCGCCTCTAAATTCTCTCTCCTTGTTTCTCGCTCCTCTCTCTCTCTCTCTCTCGCTTCGTTCTTGCTGTTCTTGGTTCCGACGGTCAGAGGAAATAAGTTGGGAGGGAAAATTAATTAACGCGTGAAGAAATACGCACCCAAATACATGTCTTTTTGCACACACTCGTCTTTCTGTCCGTAAATGTGGGTGCAGTGAGTTGTTTTATAAAGGGAGGGGGAAGGGGAGTGGAAATTACAGAATTGACATCCAATTAATCAACGGACGCGATTTGACTGTTCCCTTACTGGCGGTTACGGCCCAATCACAAAGTCTGCCTGGGTCAAAATCATATATCCACTCTTGTGTGCGAAAATTGGCTGAAATTTTAGCAAGAATGGGTGAGCTAGAGTGAGATATTAGTAATGATATAATTTAGATGGGGGCAATGGTATGAATGGCCAAAAGAAATAATTTGTTCTTTTGAGCGTTTGGGTCAGCGGCATCGAGAAGTACGTAGGAATTGTCTTAAGATAGATGGTCATCATGGATTTGAACCGATTCCCTCTCATTTTAATTCTACCTCATTTGGACTAATGGGTTGTTTGAAATAATTTGTTTTAAAAAGATGGCTAAAATTTACCCCTAACATAAAACATAGAATTTGTTAACTAAAAAAATCATGGAACATATAATTGTAGGAAGATGAAGATTCAAATTTAAAATTAAACCAATTCAAATTCAATATTAAGCAAACAATATTCAAATTCATAACTTAACACAAAAATAGTAGATTAATAATAGCTTATTTGAATTTTTCAAAAAAAAATAATAATAATAATAGCTTATTTGAATTTGATATTTTGTAGTTTAAAATTTGGAAAAAAACCACCTCATTTTCTTTTAAAAAATAAATGAGATCAGGAGTATTTTAAAACCACTAAAAGTTTAATTAAAGAAGTAGTAGAATTAGAAAATTTAAAAACTGACACGCGAATTCAAATCGTGAACTTCCTTCGAACAATATCTCATAATGAAGAAAGAATGTAGGGACTATGTATACCTAAACAATAGAACATTTATAAGGATAAGAAGATGCAAATGAGCAAATATGCTAACAAGTATATGGTGTAAGCTTTGTAGAAACTGATGGTGTGGTGTGGTTAGGTTTGTTCTTCGAAGATTTTGGGTCGAAGATGATAGTTTTGGTTCGCACGTTAGTTAAAAATGAGGTTAAATGGTTATCTAACGTTAATTAAAGACCTTTTCAATCATTAGTGATTTTTGTGGAAGTTTAGATAAAAACGCCATGAAAAAAACCACAATACAAACATACAACATATGATTACCTAATTTTGTGGAGATTTTGTTAATGGTATATGAAAATATAGGACCCACAATTTATAATGTCAGAGATTTTTTTAATATCTTTTGGTTTTTAAATAAATAAAATTTTAAATCTTAGTTTTTGATTAGTTTTTTTAGCAAGAACACAAACTTTATTAATAAAAACCACAATGGGTAACCAATGAGCAGTGAAAATTGTTATTCACTCAAAACAAACATGGGGAAAATCCCTAATCCAGCACGTTGAACTATAAGAATATAAAGCCTTCTTCGACAAATCATCTACTTGGAAATTCAAGATACGTCGGATATGCAAAAACTATTGGTAAATATACACTGTATATATATAAGCTATGTAATACTGGCAATAGATTACAATATAACTGGTTACAAACAATGATGGATCTTGACAACTTGATGAATACCAAAAATTTGATAAAAATAGTTGAGGCAGGCTTCAATAGCGCTGACACGAAGACAATTATTTACTCTACACAAGTTGCTAGCAGACTATAGGGATCGTCTCAGCAGAATACAATGACTAACTCCGGTAGAACAGCAACCTCAAACTTTTCGGATCTGACAGAACTCTTAGATACTTGCTCTCAACATAAACAAGAAAAAGAACTCAAAAGAAGAGAGAACTCTTGTGAGAGGAGGAGTAACTCAAATGAGAATTGCTTGACGTCTCAAATGAGGAAAACTACAACTATATATAATTGTTCAAAACAAGTAACATCTTACAAGCATCTTTAACACATATAAAGTTACAAATATGTAACTTTGTAACTTTAACAAAATAAAGGGAAAAACTCCTTATTTAAACATATAACTTCAATTTTAGTAAAATGAAGAAACATAACAACTAAAGAAATAAATAAACAATTGATACAAAATAAAACAAAATTCACAACGTATATGTTGAATTAAAACTTACAAATTTAATTTTCGGATATTAAATTTGTAATATACAATTGCTTATCAATATTTCAAATTTCACTTTCTTTCCCACTATAAAAATCCAACAATCCCCCACATGAAAGAAAGTGAGACAGACAACACAAAAATCAAAACGCTGAGAGCAAATAGATAAGTTATGCATGAGGAGAGGTGTCTTTTGGACTTGAACCTTCCTGATATGAACCAAAGTGTCTTAGTGCTCAAAGATTTATAAGAAGATGTTGAGAATCCTATGTCCAAGTTGACAACAAATTGGAGTTGAGATTTTATGATTGAATGAAAGTTGCTATTTTGCTTCAAAAATCTATAACTTGTTTTTCTTTGCAATTCTTGAGTGTTAGATTTGCATGATAGAGTCATTCAAGTAGCCTTGATCATGTTATCTTGTGGAGTGGTTCAAATCTTGAGTTTAGAAACAAGTTTTCTCTACTCTTGATCTTGATCTTGATCATCAAGGTAAATTCGTTCTAACTTCTTCCTTGGGTTAAAATCATCTTGATTTGGGGGTTTTAGCATTTGTGATCTAGGGGTTTGCATAACCATAAGAGTTCTTAGATCCAATTGGCTATTGTTTTCTTATCACTTCCTTGGTGAATATTTATCAAATTTACCGAAGAAATAGCTCTGAAACTATCATTCTCGTGATAAATTGAGACAACAAATATCACACATAACTTATCGTGTATCTTTGAGTTCTATACAGTTGAGTCCATTTTGGTTCTGGACAAGTGAATGGATTGGATCCCCCAGCGAAAGCGTGCGAACACGTGTGCTTCGAACTCGTTTTAGAATTACAACAAAGAAAAGACATAAGCATGAGTAAAAGGAAATTAGTGATACATACCTTTGAAGACACATCCTCAATGTAGACATCAACATCACCAAAAAGTCTTCATCGCTATCCTTTGGATATTGAGAACTCGTTTTATAGGAACTGTCTTACAATTGAAAGGGAAACTGAGAGATTGAGAGACAGAATTTCTCGTTGGAGTTTCGGAAACTCAATCAACCAATGTTCGGGAGGCAGAAAAGAAATGGGAGAACCTCCCTTTTATAGAGAATGAGGAGTGAGGGTAAAGTCACTACTTCTCTACTTCCCACCATTAATAGGGGAAGTGGGAGGTTTTCCTCTCATTTTCTTTTTTCTTTTTTTTTTCTTTTACTTTAATTAAAATAATAATAATTAAAATTAATTTAATTAATTACAAAAAAATTATTATTTTAATTTAACCAAATTAATATATCTCATTCATTTAATTAAATTATATTTAATTAAATTAAATTTAAATTAATCAACTATATTAGAATCAAGTTCTAATGTCCATCTCTCTCGTAATTTTAAATCCAATTAAAAATTAAACTTTATATTATAATATATCAACATACATTATATTAATTGCAATTAACCTTAATTCCCTTTAACGAAATTGAACAATTCAAATTCTTTTCAAGACTAAATGTTCTAACTATCCTTTTACGAGTTAGTAAGAGGACCAAATGATCATACAGATCAGAAGCTACATACGAGATTAATTAATTAAACTCATTTACCAAATTAATCAACATTCGTTAACTGTCGGTCACTCCACTAAAGACCTACAGCTGCACTCTTCTCACTGTAGAATATTTTGTGTCCACAGATTTTGACCATTAATGGTAAGTCAATCCTTCACGAGTGTTCATAACTACAACTGGGTCAAATTATTGTTTTACCCCTATATTATATCTTGTACCCTAAGTACTGATGATCCTCTAATGAACAACCCGGTTATGGTCAAACCAATAACCGGAAGTCCCTCTCGAGTCAGTGAGAGGGTGGGGCCCCTTGTTCAAGTCCCGGAATCAACACTTAAGAGAACACTCATATACGTACCCTAAAGTCGGGAAGGAGTGAATTTCATCTTGTGTAGTTATGTTCCCAGCTCCCCACTCGATCTCGTCCCCAAATGGTAGGAATATTGAGTTGGCGACTCGGGCCACTCTCACCCATACAAATCAAAGGATGAGCGCTAATAGGTAGGGGTCCATAACTCACTCAAGATTGAGATCGAGTTACCCGGTCATCCTATTGAAATATTAATTTATTAGCTAACGGTGTTACAGTTAAAGATTAATTATTTCATGGTCCGGTCTTATACAAACTTATTGTATAGGATACCCCTACTCGCATGTCTCCATACGAACGACCTGGATCAAGTCATTTGTTACTATTACAAAATGGGTCGTATCCATAGTGTTACCAGGATAAGGTACTCAACCTTATCTATCTACTATAGACCCTTTAGGTTATTGCTGGAACATTATCCACCTGTATATCGAATATATACTGTATATATATACACTTTATATCAAATATATACGTTGGATATAAAATATATACTGTATATCTGTTATATACTGTTCCAGTTACATGACATAACCTTGGATGTTAGTTTATTGGATTTGGGTTAATGTAATTCTATGAGAAACATCAATAACAACTTTATTGAATAAATATTTGTTTTATGTTTACAAACCACGAATTTAGAGCATAAAACCCAACAACAAGCTTCTGAATTCATGAGAACTTTAGAAAACATAAGTCATTTGAAAAGTTCTCATAGAACTGACCAAATTCTTCTCTCACATAGGTGATATTGACTAAGAGTATTCTGTCACTGTCCCTCTTGTAATCAAGATATATCAATATGACCTTAACATCAACAGATCACACACTTAATCATGTAACATCATAAAAATGAAAAGAAACTATAAGTTACTTAGTGTGTCAACTATAAATTATCCTGCCAGTTTGTCTATTGAACCTAGATCTTGGAATCTCCAATCAACTAGGTTAGGTTACCACCAGATACTTCATTGTATAGGTTTTAATCTCA